TAATTAGGGTTGAAAGTGATTCGACCGCGGTGTCGATTTTTACAGGACTGTCTAAGTCTAAGTCCGACGATAGGTAATTAGGGGAGTCCTGCGAGTCCATAGCTTTTGCTAGTGAGTCCTTGAAACCCTTCCCTTTAGTGAAGGTTTTCGTAGTTATAATAGGGGGTGGCTGATGGCCAAGAATAAGAGAGACCGGTCGGTGATCGGATCCTATATCGTCTAGTGTCTCAATAGACCTGAGGTTGAGTGAAACTCCTTTGAGTAACGCAAAATCTAGTACATCTGGGTTATAATCGGTATTATCGGGATAGTGCGTTGCACCGAGCGGGCTGAAAACGGTTAAGTCAAGAGACTGCGTTATATCACGCAGTATCCTACCATTAGTATTAATCGTACGGCATGTCCATTCAGTATGTTTAGAGTTGAAATCTCCAAACATAATGACTGAATTACTTTGAGATAAGATTGCCTCAAAATCATCTTTGAGGGGGAGGTTTTTAGGGGGAATGTAACAGGAGACTATGACTAAAGACTGATGTCCCGTCATAGATATCCTGCATAACGTAGCTTCCATATTGGTAAGCTGTGGAGTATCAATAAGAGAGCAATGTAGTGTCTTCTTGTAATAAATGGCCGTGCCGCCACCTCGGCGGTCGTGCCTATCATTACGAAGAAGAGAATAATTTTTAATGGATAAGCCTTTATTGTCTGTGTGTTTAAGATTGGTTTCCTGTAAGAGGAGAAAATCAGCTTCGCGATCTTTAAGGAAGAGCTTAAGCTCTGGGAGATTATTACGCAATCCGCGAATATTAAATGAAATAAGCGACAGCCCTTTGGGCTTGATACGACCGTGACTTCTAGGCAGAGCAGAAGGCTCTGTCATTATAAGCTAAGTTAATTAAGTTAACTTAGCTTACAACGAACGCAATAAATTACTGTGTTCTGCGAGAGCCAAAAGCCGGTCCTGAGGGGACCGGGCGGCGCGCAGTTTACTCGCTAAAACCGAGATTTCGTTAATGTCGATGTTCCTTATCGCGGCGTAAACCGTGTTAAAGTCATCGCCAATTGTCGACTGTTTCTGCTGCGGAGCAGAAAATACCTGTGGCGGTGGATCTACCTTTTTGGGGCCCCAGGCAAAAACTGGAGCCTGCATAGGCTTTGAGAAGCCTGGTGGTGGCCTAAGCGGTGCCTGCGGTGGCCTAAGCGGTGCCTGCGGTGGTCTCGGGGGACCCTGAGGGGGTCGTGCAAAGCCCTGAGACGGCTGAGATGCGCCCTGACGGGGCTTCCTAACATATAAGGCCGGGAATGAACGGTCATTTACCGGCGGTGGTGCCTGTCTTGCTATGCGCGGACGAGGAGCGCACGGGCATCCTCTGTAGCTCGCCGGGTGGCCTGTCTGTTGACACAGGACGCACGCGGGCGGGGATACGGCATCTTTAGGCCGAGGACACTCTTTGGTGATGTGTGGATCTAGGCACTTAACGCACCTGGGTGGGGCGGAGCAATTGGCCGCCGCGTGACCATATAGTTGGCAGCGGTGGCACTGCGCCGGGAAACCGCGCCTATGCGGTGACTCAACCCTAACTCCCGACAAGCCGCACACCGTGCGTACTTGCCGGAAGATGGTTTGCGCCTCCGGAACGTTGGTTAAGATAGCTAAGATTATCGGGTATCTCAACCCGGTCCTACTGTGCATTTTATGAACAGCTTCGACGGGGAATCCTTGTGACTTAAGGTCATCAAGAATCTCCTCGTTGGAGAGTTCGAACGGGACGCCTCGGATGACGGCCTTGACTTTACGCTCTTCCGGAAGAGCGTATGTATGGTACGATACTCGTTCGTTAGTAAAAAGCCTAGTGAGTCGGCGAAAATCGTCAATAGATTGGGGAACTATTTTTATCGCTACGCCCATGTTCGTAGCTATGTCATATTTAATTCCGGAGTCGTAGCATACCTTGCTCAGTCTAGTGAACTCGGCCTTGTCTCTCAAAAAGACAGGGGGCGGAACTGGTTTTTTCGCGAGTTGCGGAGCGCAACGTGAAGCCGGCTTCGTCGGCGCTGCAATATCTAAGGGGGTCGAGGCAGCGGCGGGGGCTGCGGAGGTAGACGCGGCAGCGGCGGGGGCTGCGGGGGTGGGGGGAGCGGCACGGGCCGCTTCGGCGAGGGGCGAACGGTTTTTCGCGGCGCGCTTCGCTGCGCGCTTTGACGACACCGTGGTGTAAGACGTGTTAGAGTCACCGGTATCATCGGAGTCAGAGGACTCCGATGTCCTGGTGCTGGACTGTTTGGCAGGCCTCTTCCGGGAGGCAGATGTTGATGACGCGGAATCGGAGTGAGAGCACTCCATGTCGATTTCGAGCGGCGCGAAAGAGTTTCGAGACGCGAGGTAGTCCGCAATAACGGGCGGCGGTGCCTGAACGGCGGGAGGAGCCAGAAGGGCTGAGATGGCTGCTGAAAGAGCTAGCGGGTCATTTTGGAACCTATGGTATGCATCGCGCACGTAACCTTTAAAATTCTGCGAGGACATTTTAACCGATTCTACAACAAAACTAAAAATAAACTAAAAATTAGAACTATCGTATGGCGTGGGGGGATCAGGGATCACCGTTCTGAAAAGAACGGGACGTTCTTATTCTGAAACTCTCCCTCGTCCTCAAAAGGACGGGGGCTAAGTCAAGAAACAATATGACAATATACACGTTATATATACTACACATATAATTATAATAAACTACTAACATATACAGAACTAGTGTACTACAATATAAAAAAGCGTTCAGTCAGACCTCCCCGACCTGAAGGCGGGGGGGTAAGAGCTGAGAGTTAGCGATGAGACACTCACCCGACTTCAGCGCTTATAGCGCCAACACTGAGAGGCGCGCGGGGCGCGAAACTGAGGGGGCGCTAACGGAGCGCACGCGAACTACCTGTACACAACCGCTCGGGGGCGGTGCAACAGGCGGAATGAAATCGTCGCGAGTGGCGACGCTTTTATATGGTCGACAAATGTGCGGTTACAGGCGAGACTTCTCTACCCATCTCTTTTCCTCCCCCCCCCCTCTCTCCGTTTTTACTTCATCGTGAATATCGGGTAGACCAAGCATTCGTATTAAAAACTTTTAAATAATAATAATAATATACAATATTATGATATTTGCATTATAGAGAACCCTCGAGGTCTTAATTTCATATGAAATCACTAATATCTTGCTCAAAATATACTCCTTGTAATAAAAATATCGTTTGTGTCTTAAATTGTAGGTTATAATTATATCTAATAGTTATTAAGCTCTCATAGGCGCGTATTATAGCAGATTTCTAGTTATTAAGTAGACTATTCTAAATTTATTTTACGTAATTTCAAATAAGATCCCTTTATTATTATTATTATTATTTTTTATTTTTTTTCGTATCCTTTTATGTATTAGTTGTATGTAAGTATTTTAAAATTGTACATTTGCATGCGAGGTATATCTATAAAAGAATAAATACTCTTAGCGTAGCGGACGAACGAGCGAAATGTAGGGTGACGTTATTATGAGAAACGGATAGTAATACGATATATTTTGTGGCCCTGAAAAGGGCCTTTGAAATACACCTAAAACACACACCAATCACCGACCTTACTTGGAGCTGGTGTATTTGGTGACTGCCTTGGTGCCCTCTGACACGGCGTGCTTGGCGAGTTCACCGGGCAACAGCAGTCTCACGGAGGTCTGCACTTCCCGTGAAGTAATAGTCGAACGCTTGTTGTAATGAGCCAAGCGCGAGGCCTCTGCGGCTATGCGTTCGAAGATGTCGTTAACGAAAGAGTTCATTATGGACATCGCTTTACTGGATATACCAGTATCGGGATGCACCTGCTTGAGCACCTTGTAGATGTAGATGGCGTAACTCTCCTTCCTCTTGTGCTTCTTCTTCTTCTTATCCGACTTCGAGATGTTTTTCTGTGCCTTACCAGACTTCTTGGCGGCTTTACCACTAGTTTTCGGCGGCATCTTGAAGAATATTTAATGTAAATGTGATCACGGATAATACTAAATTATCACTGAACAACACAAAATTTTTTTTTTCTTATATAACGACTATCACGGTGACTCTACTAGCTAGTGGTCTAACGAGCGTATCGAGTGTAGATCAACCAATCAACGACCAGTTTGCCCGGACAAATGGAAGGGGTAGGGTAGAGAGTAGGGGATACGGGCGGAAGATTAGTTTAGAAAGAACGCAAATTTTATTTTATTAAACATTCCAATATAAGTAATATATAATTATACTAATACCCAATTATTTTAATAAAATAAATCATTATCGAATATTTTATAATAATAAAATAACTACTGATAATGTTTTAATAATGCATGTAAATTTATAATTAACATAATACATTGAGTCCATTTATCGCGGCGAGGCAATCCTCTAATCCATCTAAAGCCAACGGCAACGGTGAAGTTCATAAGAGATTTTTACTACATAATATGTTGAACGGTAAGTATTTATATATGTTTCTCTTAAAAAAAAAAAAAAAATATTTTTTTTTTTTTTACCTTTTAGTCTATTGATTATTATTAATTCATAATAAATATGGCTTTCGTCTTATCGTTACCATTACCAATAGAAAGTAATAGCGTACAAAAAGGAATAAGGTATAGTATAGGAGGAACTGAGGAAAGAGGCTTTAAAGAACGTTCGCATTCTAAGAGACTAAATTTATAAATTATCGATAGTATTTGTGGCCCTCAAAAGGGCCTTTTAATCACGTACCAACCACCACGAACGGTAGATAACAATAGAGCAGTAGAGACACGAGTCGACGGACGGCGAATGCACCATTATTATACTAAAGAGCGTAAAACAGAATATGCAATACGTATATAGTACAATTAGGGCATTACCGATCGATAAAACGTCGACGCATACTCTCGTCTAAAGTTCTCAACCATTTTCTTGGGCCTAGTGGTGTGGTGTAGTAATGCGACGGGAGTAGTGTACACACTCGTTTAGGCCTTCTTCTCGGTCTTCTTGGGAAGAAGGACCGCCTGAATGTTGGGTAGTACACCGCCCTGGGCGATCGTCACACCGGAGAGGAGCTTGTTCAACTCTTCATCGTTGCGGATGGCAAGCTGAAGATGTCTCGGTATGATTCTGGTCTTCTTATTGTCCCGAGCAGCGTTACCGGCCAACTCTAGAACTTCAGTGGCGAGGTACTCCATGACTGCGGCCAGGTACACCGGAGCGCCGGCACCCACACGCTCTGCATAATTTCCCTTTCGCAGCAGCCTGTGAATACGTCCAACGGGGAATTGTAGACCGGCACGATTCGAACGGGACTTTGCCTTTCCCTTCACTTTACCGCCTTTACCACGTCCAGACATTGTCGTTAATACGTAATAATAAAATTCTAGAAATGTAGAAAATTAAACACTCGTCTCTATATAGACGACGTCAACACCGATATAAACTAATTTTTTTAAACTTTTTTTTTTTTTTTTTTTTTTTGCGCCCGAAGCAATTGGAAAAGGGCTACCACTGAGGGAGGCGGAAAATGCATTATGCATACCACGACAGCCGGTCTGTCCTGGTTATGTGGGACTCACTGCCTACCGGGGGACCTAAGTGATACCCACTAAAAACCGCCTTTGGGGACTGGCAACTAGCTCTATTAAAGCTGCATATGCCGTATCTAAAGCGACCCTCTTTTGGGAAAAGAGGGCGCAGACGGCTAAGTGCCGTTTAGGGACTGCCTACGAAGGCATATTATTAATTTTAACTAATTTTTAATTTAATTAGGATTGGCCTGAGCCGCCAGGAGGCAGTTCAGGTCGTTTGACAACTTATTTGGCGGGTCCGAGAGAGTGTTTCTCGGCCTGCGGACGCTATAGCGAGAAGGGAGTGGGGCGGTATAAGTAACTGCCTCACGAATAAGTGTGTTAGTATGCGACTCTGATACTTTAAAGAAGTTTTCAGAGAATTTTTTAAGACATTGCTGGATTGTTGGGATTTCTAAATCCCGGTGAAGGTCGGCATTACGGACGTACCAAGGTGCGTTCGTAGCTCGACGACAGAAGAGGTTTTGAACTACTTGGAGTTCGTTAATAATTTTATCGTTAGCGTGTGCAAAAATAGGAGCCGAGTAAGTCATAACCGGTCGTATACAAACCTTATAGAGGGTTCGCTTATTTCGTAATGACATTTTGCTATGTCTGCCTAACATACTGTTAAGCCGACCTAAATAGAAACGTGCTAAACGCGTTACTCTTTTGACATGAGACTCAAAAGTAAGCCTATAGTCAAGGGTGACGCCTAAATATTTTGCTGACATGTGCCATGGGACAGGGGTCCCTAGCATTCGTATAGGTGGAGTATTTTTCTTGTTTTTATTACGGCGTCTTTTAATATCGAATTGAACTGCGGAGCTCTTCTCCGGGTTCACATCGATACGCCATTTTTGGAACCAGTCTCCTAGGTCATCGACTGACTTTTGGATCTTGTTCCTTGCTGAAGATATTCTAGGACTTTTGAAGTATAGTGCAGTGTCATCTGCGAAGAGTGAGAGCTGTACACCATTCGACGGGATAGGAATGTCGTTGGTGTACAAGATGTACAGGAGGGGAGCTAGTACTGATCCTTGAGGAACACCAGCTTTAATGGGGCGCTGAGAGGATAACGTGCCTTCGTGTCTAAAACGAAAGGTACGATGTTGTAAATAAGAGGCTACGAGACGTACTAGACGATCGGAGAGTCCTATCCTATATAATTTGAAAATAAGGCCTTCATGCCAGACTCGGTCGAAGGCTTTGGCAATGTCGAAAAAGACCGCGATTGTCTTTAGTCGACGTGGATAAAAACCGCTGAGGATATATTCCACAATGCGGTGTACCTGTTGTGGACACGAGTGTTTTGCGCGGAAACCAAATTGGTGTGGGATGACAATGGGGTCACCGTCTGTGGGAAACAGATGGCGCCTCATTCGATTTTGAATGACTCTTTCAAAGAGTTTGCCCATGGCCTTTAGGAGGCTAATGGGACGATGACTGGAGGGGAGGTTAAGAGGCTTGCCTGGCTTGGGAATACCAATGACAATTGCCTCTTTCCAAGAAGTGGGAAAGTAACTAAGATTAAAACAGGCGTTAAAGATAATAGCTAAGAGGGTTAACACCTGCTCTGGAAAGTATTTAAGGGCTTGGTTGGATATGCCATCCGCGCCCGGAGATTTTTTGGGCTTAAGTCCTTTGATGAGGGACGAGATCTCATCATTGGACACAGTGATAGGGTCAGAGGTTGTGGGGGGTGAGTTCCGGCGGCGGACCTCATCCTCCACTTCCTGAATATGTGAGGGGTCGACAGGTTGAGAGCTAGGAGAGCATTGTGCGGCAATGCTGTCTGCAAAGCACTCAGCCTTCTCGTCGTCCTCGAAGGCAACCGTACCGTCGGGGCGGGAGAGAGGGGGAGTGTGAGTTGTAGCGTCTATACGGAGGGCTCTAGCCATCTGATAGTACGCTGTATGTGAGGGAGATATATTCTCCATGAGTTCACTCCTTTGGAGCTCTCGAAATTCATAAAGGTGCGAACGGAGTTTTCGTTGAAGACGATTAGCCGTATGCCTATATTCGGGGGTGGGATATTTAGCTGCTCTCCGGAAAGCAGCTTTTTTAGCTTTTAATATGTTGCTAATATATAGGGGAAGCCCATTAGTATTAGCAACCGGAACGACCCTTTCATTCTCCTTAAGGGAGGATTTAATTAGGGTTGAAAGTGATTCGACCGCGGTGTCGATTTTTACAGGACTGTCTAAGTCTAAGTCCGACGATAGGTAATTAGGGGAGTCCTGCGAGTCCATAGCTTTTGCTAGTGAGTCCTTGAAACCCTTCCAGTTAGTGAAGGTTTTCGTAGTTATAATAGGGGGTGGCTGATGGCCAAGAATAAGAGAGACCGGTCGGTGATCGGATCCTATATCGTCTAGTGTCTCAATAGACCTGAGGTTGAGTGAAACTCCTTTGAGTAACGCAAAATCTAGTACATCTGGGTTATAATCGGTATTATCGGGATAGTGGGTTGCACCGAGCGGGCTGAAAACGGTTAAGTCAAGAGACTGCGTTATATCACGCAGTATCCTACCATTAGTATTAATCGTACGGCATGTCCATTCAGTATGTTTAGAGTTGAGATCTCCAAACATAATGACTGAATTACTTTGAGATAAGATTGCCTCAAAATCATCTTTGAGGGGGAGGTTTTTAGGGGGAATGTAACAGGAGGCTATGACTAAAGACTGATGTCCCGTCATAGATATCCTGCATAACGTAGCTTCCATATTGGTAAGCTGTGGAGTATCAATAAGAGAGCAATGTAGTGTCTTCTTGTAATAAATGGCCGTGCCGCCGCCTCGGCGGTCGTGCCTATCATTACGAAGAAGAGAATAATTTTTAATGGATAAGCCTTTATTGTCTGTGTGTTTAAGATTGGTTTCCTGTAAGAGGAGAAAATCAGCTTCGCGATCTTTAAGGAAGAGCTTAAGCTCTGGGAGATTATTACGCAATCCGCGAATATTAAATGAAATAAGCGATAGCCCTTTGGGCTTGATACGACCGTGACTTCTAGGCAGAGCAGAAGGCTCTGTCATTATAAGCTAAGTTAATTAAGTTAACTTAGCTTACAACGAACGCAATAAATTACTGTGTTCTGCGAGAGCCAAAAGCCGGTCCTGAGGGGACCGGGCGGCGCGCAGTTTACTCGCTAAAACCGAGATTTCGTTAATGTCGATGTTCCTTATCGCGGCGTAAACCGTGTTAAAGTCATCGCCAATTGTCGACTGTTTCTGCTGCGGAGCAGAAAATACCTGTGGCGGTGGATCTACCTTTTTGGGGCCCCAGGCAAAAACTGGAGCCTGCATAGGCTTGGAGAAGCCCGGTGGTGGCCTAAGCGGTGCCTGCGGTGGTCTCGGGGGACCCTGAGGGGGTCGTGCAAAGCCCTGAGACGGCTGAGATACGCCCTGACGGGGCTTCCTAACATATAAGGCCGGGAATGAACGGTCATTTACCGGCGGTGGTGCCTGTCTTGCTATGCGCGGACGAGGAGCGCACGGGCATCCTCTGTAGCTCGCCGGGTGGCCTGTCTGTTGACACAGGACGCACGCGGGCGGGGATACGGCATCTTTGGGACACTCTTTGGTGATGTGCGGATCTAGGCACTTAACGCACCTGGGTGGGGCGGAGCAATTGGCCGCCGCGTGACCATACAATTGGCAGCGGTGGCACTGCGCCGGGAAACCGCGCCTACGCGGTGACTCAACCTTGACTCCAGACAAGCCGCACACAGTGCGTACTTGCCGGAAGATGGTTTTAGCCTCCGGGACGTTACTTAAGATTACTAATATTACCGGGTATCTCAGCCCGGTCCTACTATGCATTTTGTGAACCGCTTCAACGGGGAAACCTTGTGACTTAAGGTCCGCAAGTATCTCCTCGTTGGAGAGTTCAAACGGGACGCCTCGGATGACGACCCTAACTTTACGCTCTTCCGGGAGAGCGTATGTGTAGTACGATACGCGTTCGTACGTAAAAAGTTTCGTGATACGGCGGAAATCGTCGATCGTGGTTGGCAATATTTTGATTGCTACGCCTAAGTTGGTAGCATCCTCGTACTTAATTTTCGAGTCGTAACATATCTTACTGAGCCGGGTAAATTCAGCCTTATCTCTTAAGAAGACAGGGGGCGGGGCTTGTTTCTTAGCTAATTGCGGCGCACAACGCGTGGCCGGTTTTGTTGGCGCTGAGCTATCTAACGCGGCAGCTCGGGCTGCAGGGACTGAGGCAGCGGCGGGGGCTGCGGGGGTGGGGGGAGCGGCACGGGCCGCTACGGCGGGGGGGCGAACGGTTTTTCGCGGCGCGCTTCGATGCGCGCTTTGACGAAACCGTGGTGTACGACGATGTATTGGAGTCACCGGTATCATCGGAGTCAGAGGACTCCGATGTCCTGGTGCTTGACTGTTTAGCAGACCTCTTCCTGGAGGCAGATGTTGATGACGCGGAATCGGAGTGAGAGCACTCCATGTCGATTTCGAGCGGCGCGAACGAATTACGTGACGCGAGGTAGTCCGCTATAACGGGCGGCGGTGCCTGAAGGGCGGGAGGAGCCAGAAGGGCTGTGATGGCTGCTTTAAGAGCTTGCGGGTCATTTTGGAACCTATTGACTGCATCGAGCACGTTACCTACGACATTCTGCGAGGACATTTTAACCGATTCTACAACTAAACTAAAAATAAACTAAAAATTAGAACT